TAAGCAAGGTTAGACTATACTACAACTACTAAACGTGTTATTTCTACTACTACACTACTACTACATACAAAAAAAAAAAAAAACAACAACCAAAAATCAACAATTACTTCAAATTAAATGAACAAAAATAAGCATGCAAAATAAAAACTAATTCAAATTAACTACAAAAAAAAATGCAAAATAAAAAATTAATTTGAATAAAATCAACTTAATGAATTCTACTAGATAGAGCATGCAAGATAAAGAACTATTTCAACTATGGGGTCATCTTTGTCTTCTCCAACGTCGATCTGAAACAGATACGGTGGTAATAGATTAATAAAGAGCAATTAAAATTAATTGTATCAAGTTTCTCACCTTAATTAACTGCAGACTGCAACTGTTTGCAGGTGTGAAGAGCACACCAAATCCAGGAGGAACACCATAGCAGAAATTTTGTTGTACCATTTGAAATCAAATAGATCCTGAGTTGCTCCCACTAATCGGTCAAAAATCAACTGCATGGTATTACGAAGTGAAGATGAAAATATCAAATCAGGAACAGAGTCCTGAAAAGACCACACCCATGTAGACGGTTGTTCGAGTAGCGCCAAACTGAACTCATTTGTTAGACAATCTGCAGAAAGGGCAAAAAAAATTATTAATTACACTATTAATTAAGGAAGGAACTAAACACTCCTAAAAATAAACAACAAAAAGCAAGTAAAATAGCTGAATTATAATAAAATGGCGACAACTGTCATTTCACACCATGATCATAGACCCTGCATGACATAAATTGACATAAATAAAGACAAACAATCATAGATGCACGGTGTCAATTTATGATGTGCACAATAGATAATTGGTAAGACAGATAACCCATAAGATCAATATTGAGCAACTAACATAAATGGCATGCATTCTCACCTTAATTAACTGCAGAAAGTAGCTTTCTAAGGTCCACACGTAGAATGAACAAGCCAAATCCAGGAGGAATATCACTTTCCAAAGTAATTTTCAAATGTCTCCCCCTCTCAGGTTCAAAATTATGTTGCAAGGGTAAGACGTCAAAAGCATCGACTCTTTCAGTACCATCACAATTAGCTGTAATCTCTCTTCACTTAGACAATCTATAGAAACGGACAAGAAAACGTGGTTAATTACAACTTTTAAAGCGAATAAATCTGTAATATTTTAATGAGGCGATGTGGTGTTAAAGTTAAAAGCTAACTTTTGCACTGATGGAAACGCCAGTTCCACATTTTGCTTCTGCCACTTCTAAAATGTTTAAAAGTTGTCTGATTAAATAAAGAAAGTTACAAATACGCTACAATTGAAGTTTCTCGGTCCTAGATTAATATTTTTAATTGACATAGTTTACTTACCAGTTCATTCGTCATAAATCCTTCCTTCAGCAATGCCACCCTGTATCCGTTCCCAATGGAAAAAAAGGCACTTTTGTGCTTTCTGGATCGAATGAACACTGACACAACCAAGGCACTGTAAATTAAAGCCATCCAGGGTTTTTCCTTATGTTCCTGTGAAATGAAATTTTATGAGTTTTCAGATATAATTAATTTAGCCTCTTTAGTAAATAACGTGCATGACACAATAGTAAAGTTAATATCAAAAAAAATATACTAATTATGGCATGTACGCTCACCGCAATTAATTAGAAGATCCTCCACGGCAGACAACTTGCTTTTTCAGTTGCATCAAAATGAACACTCTTTCATTCTTAATTAACATCAATCTGTAAAAATAAGGAAGAAAAACGAATAAACTAAATTATTAAACAATTAAAACATGAAATGCAATGAAAATACGCACCGAAAAGCAAATAAAATTGCAAATTTTAAAAATGGCGACGTAGCGTCGTTTTTAATAGAAAATGGCAAGATGAATGAAATGCACAAAATTCATTAATATTTAATAGGAGTATTCTTCTTCACTTCCACAGAATCGATGTTTTCTTTGAATTTTCATTCTCTATGAATTCTCATTACAGACCCAACAATTGTAGTGGCGCTTTAAACACTGCAAAAAAAATTAGATACACTGAAGGTCAGCAATACTTACAATTCTAACGAAATACAGGGTAGTTCGACATTCTAGTATAAAAAGAAATAATATATGTTCGACGTTCCATGCATAATATTGCAAGAAGTCTACTGTTACAAAAACTGGCAGCAAATTAATAACATGGAATTAATATTAATTGTACTATAAATTCTCACCTTGATTAACTGCAGGCTGTATCAGTCCAAAGTTCACACATGCAAAAAGAAAAACAAATCCAGAAAGAGAACTACCAATGCAGACCTTGCTTATCGTTATTGCTAGAGTCAAAATTAGTATCTACTTCTCATTTGTTCACCAATCTGCAGAAATGAACAAGAAAACATTTTAATTATCAATATTAAAGCGAGTAAAACAGTGACATTTTAAAATGGCGATGTAATGGTAAAGTTAGAGACAAAATGAAAGCAAAAATAATGGGCAAGTATGCTATAAATGTACCGTTTGTTAATAATCAAAATAAACGTTTTCCCTCAACCACTTATTCTCTTACTGAAGTTAACATTTATATAAAATTTCCATTGCCATTTGTAATACAATATTTAAAATAAATGCTCTATCTCCAGTATTATGCTCTTTCACAGTGCCGGAAAGGATCAAGTTGTATATTGATTCTGCTGCTGTTTTTTGACATTTGTGAATTTCTGTTTAAAACTTGATTACTGAAAAAAACATAAAATGTCGAAGAACTTGACTTTTCTGGGTTCTAGTCTACTACTTTTAATTAATATTGTTACTTACCCATTCACTGTCATAAATTCTTCCTTTAGAAGTAACACACTGTCACTGTTCCCAACGGAAGAAAAGGCAGTCTCCTTTAGGTACTGCTGTTTTCTTGAGTGAAGGAAGGTTGATGCAACCAATGCTCCATAACCCAAAGCATCCACAGTTTTTAAAATATTCCTGTAAAATTACATAATACTAATACATTCTTTTATTAGAAACAAAGGGAGAAACGTACAATTTAAACAAAAAGTAGCTACATACTTTCATTCTTTATATTATAGGATATAAGTATTATGAATATAAAAATTTCAATAAATAGTCTTTTTAAAATAGCAAACAGTACTTCAAAATGAAGTTGGTACTTATTTAGCAGACAGGTTAAAATTATACAAATAAAATAAATACTTTAAATATTTTCTTTGTCTTTTTGTTCTATTCCCAGTACATACTTCCAATATATTTATACAACTACTAAATTGTAGATTAACACAATTAAACAATTTAATACCACAGAAGCACGATAATGCCAACCTACGCTATGGAGAATAGATAATTGTTAAAACAAATAGCATAAGATTAATAGAGAACAACTAGATTAATGATGTCGTGCATTCTCACCTTAATTAACTGCAGAAAGTAACATTCTAAAGTCCACAGGTGGAATGAGCAAGCCAAATCCAAGAGGAATGTCATTACAGACAATTTGTTGTTTCAGTCGTTTTCAAATTAATTTCCACTTATTTAATTCAATAATGCTGTAAGGTGAACAGATCAAAAGCAATTGCTTCTCATTTGTTGGACAATCTACAGACACAGGCGAAAAAAAGGAATTAATAACTACTTTTAAAGCAAATAACTTGGTAACGTACACACTGATGAAATGACCAGTTCCACATTAATTCTGCTGTTCAGTTTCTCCACTTGAAAGTAAGTTATAACTGTCTCCGTTCCTAAAGGGAAGTAAGCACCTTCATGCTTTCTTTGGGACCATAGATGCAATTACTTTCTGGAGTGAATAAAGACTGATACAACCAATGCTGCTCTGTAATTCCTGTAAAATTAAATCCTGTGAATGATATTCAGGCATAATTAACTTAGCCTCCTAATAAATAAAGTACATAATATAATGTTAAGATTAATATAAATATCACCTTAATTAACTACACGACGCTCCAAACTGCAAAAAAACACCGTGGCGAATGACTTGCTCTGTCAGTTGCATCACAATGTACATCAATCAGTCTTACTTACTGTCAATCTGCACAATAAATAAATAAACTATAGTATTGAACGAATAATTAAAACATGAAAAACAATGAAAATACACACGGAAAAGCAAGTAAAACTGCAAAATTTTGAAAATGGCGACATGGCGTCCTTCTTACTACAAGATGGCAATATAGACAAAATGTATAAAATTCATAGATTCATAATTGTCAATTTATGCCGAGGACATATAGATAAACTGTGAAGAAAAAACTATAGAGCATACATGAAAAACAAACCGCCAAGGCAACAATAATTTTTTTTAAAGTTTAAATTAAACATCAACATTTCTGTAATTTAAAATTTAAAATAAATAAAATATGCTTTTAATGTCTGTTCTTAATATAAATATTCTTTCTCACTTCCATAGAATTTTTAGTCAATGTTCTCATTGTACTCAATGGCAGAATCAAGAAATGTAGTGGCGCTATAAACGCCAATCGAGTATTTTCAAAAATAATTATGATATACTGACGTTTCGTAATTCATACAATTCTAATAAGATAGGGGGTAGTTTGATATTCTATATTCTATATTCTATTATAAAATATATATTCTCACCTTGATTAGATGCAGAGTGTAACTACGATTCGAAGTGTACGCACGCGAATAGCAAACCAAATTGAGAAGGAAAGATTCAAGTACGGACTTCAAAAAGTAAAAATAATTTGTGTACGTTGCACGTTGCACTTAAGACGGGCAAAACTTAAAAAAAAAGATGTTGTATCGGCCAGGAAACGAACGTGTGCCGCCAAAACGATTGGAACACTCCTAGCGAATTGTTCCAGTTGCAACAATTTTATGTTTAAGATTTCTTTAAAATTAATTCATATAAACAGGACATTTTTTTTGATTTGAAAGCAAATTGTTCGAACTTTGACCACACGTGAAACTAGGATAAAAGAACTGAAAAAAGGAAATTAGGTATATAAAAGTAACAACGATAATAGAGCGTATGCACCTATGAATTTGACCTTTTAAAACATTAATTAAGGACATTATAAAAAATAAATCAAAATAGAAAACGTTCGTTGGAAGCATTAACGAACAACCACCTTGCTTGTATATTACGGTTATGGAATACATTGAAAAATAATATTTTAAAAACGAGTATGACTTAGAATTTGTAACAACTCTGTGAATAGTTTATTTTTTAATAAGTAATAAGCGAATGTAGAATCACAATAGGGTTTGGACATATTAGTTTATTAACAAACATTGTAAAACATCATTGAATTATATACATTAAAAACATCGATAAAGAAACATCGAAAACGATAATCACAATAAAACAAATATTTTGTGTTGTACAAGTCATTATGATAGAAAAATACAGAGATTGATTGAAGCCAAAGGATGAGCGTCGGAGCGGATATTGACGTATGACGTTTAGAATATCGGCATCATCTTTGACGAACACTTCATTAGTTTTGAACGTTCCACACAAGTCCATTAGTATTCTTGACTTTAACAAGAAATCCAATCTGTTTGGCGCACATATTGCATTGCATTCATGTCCGCAAATATTCAACTCAAGTGTTGCAAAAAAGCCTTAAACTCATTAATACCGTAGTTAGAAATAGTACGCTGCCAAATCTGGGCGACGAAAACGCTCCACTTGGCTTATCTGAACGAAAAACAAGAACTTTGTTAAAATTCTCGATTTGCAGGATTGTACGTTGATTTTAAAGCGGAATTCCAAATTGGTCACTAAAAGATTACTATTTTTTTGTTGAAATAGGGCAGACCAGGGACAGTTTGAAAAAATCGTTTGATATCTTGGCCTTTTCTAAAGGGGAAAGGAGTATTTCATGCGGAGTATATGTTTGTAAATTCAATGGCGCACTCACAATTTTGGGGCTGTATTGACCAGATTTCAGTTCCGATTCACTAACCGCTCTTATTTAATTAATTATTTAATTATTCCCGTTTCATCAACTATTATAGGCCAATACAATCCTTTTCGTAACAAAAATATTAGTAGGCGGGATCACATTAAGAATTGGTTGTTAATTTGTTATAAACAATTACAATTATAAAATGTAAATTAAAGTAGAAGTCTCTTTGACATCCAGAGAAAAATTGTAGGGATTGAAAAACCTTTAATTTGAGACCTTGTTTGACTCGATCGGATCAATATTAACCGGGAAAATTAAAAAACAAAACTGGAAAATTTGTCGTTTTTGTTTAGAAATTCATATTTCTGTTGTACTTGTAGCGCTGAGATGACGGGAAATGAGAGTAATTTATGTTTAATTTTTTATGTACGAAAACCAGGGGATGTTGGATAAATAGTTCCTTTACAATAGCAATTTACAGATAACTATCTCGATTTTTAATTTAAAATCCGTTGAAATAAGTGAAAAATGCAATCAAACATTAAGCATACGGCGAGCGCGTTAAAGTAGCGTAGTGAAAGGGGAACCCCGGATGGAGCACGATTTCTATAGTATATATTTTTCAAGAATTAGCGAATCGGGAATTTAAAAGGTCGCACAATAATAAAATGAAGTTAACCAATTCGCACCAAAGTATGTAGCGAAAGTTGGTGAAACGGGAATTGATAATTATATGAAAAGTTTAGAATAAGGGTAATGAAATTTTAATGTCTACTGAAAATAAATGGAGAGATTTCATCAAGGCTTTCTTTTTTTTATGACTATTACGTTAGTTAAAATTTTGTTTGATACGTTAAATTGTTAATAAATAAACAGTTTCTGTGCTATAAAGTTGTATCAATTTTCATAAAAGATCCTCAGCAATCTGCTTGCAGGTCATGAAACAGTCGTTTGTAGTTGCATGACGGTCAAAAAAATCATTACCCTTTTATGGCATCTTTTAAATAAATTACGGCCAGCTAAAACATGACTGTACAAATGTCTTTCGCTTTTCCATTTCGTGTGTGCGCTACTGACTGACCATGGGTAAATTTTTGTTAATATTTCGAAGGTAATAATTTCAATAATAAAATTAGATGTAAATATGGAACCAATTAAATTTTCTTAAAAATACACCATAAGTGAGATAAATAATAAAATTGAATTATAAACACTCAGACTATGCATTAACATGCAATATTAACATATACATATACAGCTCAAGCAACAGGCAGTAATATCGTCATCTAGTGATACTTTCTGTTGACCGTAATATTTCAAATTTTTTACAAGGTCTTACAAATTATAAAGGCGTCTAATTGGCAAACTGGAAATGGAATCTACGACGAAGCCTATAGCGTGCTGATGAGAACTAATACGTGCGAAATCACGATCCACATAAATTATCTACTAACCAAGAACTTAATGACAGATATTTAAATTTTTCTAACGGATAAAGCGATGACGTTGCTACTGAGAAAACTAATAATCAGTTTATTTTCTTTAGGATTTCAGAAAATGACTTTCTGGAGGTATCGTAGCTAGAAATAGTACTAATCAATACAAACTGATGTTGAAAGTTTATAGAGAAAAGCTGGTTGATTTTCTTACTTTGTGAAGGGCCTTGCTCCTTGGACTGGATAATAGTTGTATTTGGATATCCTAATCCTAACTAATATTATAAATATGCGAATGTGAGTTTGTTTAAAATAATTCGAAGTGGTCTGTATTTTGTCGAAACTGCTAGACGCGGATCGCGATTTCGAACTTTCTGGATCTCATCAGCGCGTCGCATGCAGCTCGACAGAACACAGACCAACTTATACCTGCTGTCTTAACAGTGCGTTTTAGAAAATACTACAAATGGCGCAGTAAATGCCATTTGTAGCACGATGCTACATTTTAGGATTACGTATGCTCCAAAAAGGTCCAGTTGTGTGGATATCTACTTGCTGAAAACGAATCCCGGCGTAGCCAACCTCAACGTGATAGGCACGTTAGCTTAATCGAATAAAATAATTCGTAATCCTAAAATGTAGCATCGTGCTACAGATGGCGTTTACTGCGCCATTTGTAGTATTTTCTAAAACGAACTGTGAGTTTGTTTGTTTGCTACCATTTCACGCCTTAACCAATTAATCGATCATCATAAAATTTTATACTCACGATGTTAGACGTACAGAAAAGGACATAGGGTATCTTTTATCCTGTTCCCGAAGGATAGAAAAATTAATTTTATGTGGTTGTCGATGATCATTGAGACGTACTTAGGATATCAACGCGAGCGAAGCCTAGTAATAGTTGACCACCGTAATCTTAATAAAAATTTTCTTTAGCGGAAAATCTAGTTAAAAACTTTGCACAGTCTGAAATCCTGACAGTAATTCTTGCAATTAAAGTTTAAATTAACAAAAGTTCATGGGCTTATGTTAATATATATTTTTTGCAATTAGCTATAGACAAAAATTAGGTGGGATTCACTACATAAAATCATCTATAAAACGAACATGTGTACAATATGATACGGAATTAGTCGACGTTCCTTTTTTTTTTGTTAACTGATACCTCTCGGTGCATATCGCTTATAACTCAATAAGTATGATTCTAATGAAAGTTCGAGACTTACTCCATTATATTTTAGATTTTTAGGAATTTTTTTATTTTAAGGGGTTGACTGACACTGACTCCGCTACTTTTTAATGTATACATTGAAGACCCGATCAACATTATTAAAGACAGTACAACTGTAGGGATAGACATACAGGGGCAAAAGATTAGTATGCTTAGATTTGCAGATGATATAGCAGTATTAGCATCTAGCAAGAAGGAGTTAGAGATAGCTTTCAATAAAAAACAGTTTTGTATGAAAATAAATAAAAGTAAAACAAAAATATTGCTTTGCAAGGGCAGAAAAAGTAGGAAAAGAGCCAATATAAAGATAGGAGACGAAAAATTATAAGAAGTGGCTGATTTTAGGTATCTAGGAAGTCAGATAAGTCAAGTCTATGTTCGCGAACGATTAATTTAGAAATTCGAAAAAGACTGTTAAAAGTGTATGGTTGGAGCGCGGCGCTGTACGGGTGCGAAACATGGACGGTGGGCGCTGCGGAAAAAAAAAGGTTAGAAGCGTTCGAAATATGGTGTTACAGGCAAATGATGATGATACCGTGGATATAGAAGGTTAGAAATGAAGAGATATTAGAAAGAATAGGAGAACAGAGGACTCTATGGAAGTCAATAAGAAATTGGCGAGATAGGTTAGGCATGAAGGTATAGTGAGAGACATATTAGAGGCAGAAACAGGAGTTAAAAGGAGTAGAGGAAGACCTAGATTAGATTACTGTTCACAAATAGTTAAGGATGTGGGATGTTCTAGTTTTGGGGAAATGCGAAAATTAGCTCAGGACAGGAAAGAGTGGAGGTGTGTGTCCAACCAGACTTATCACTGACGACCTTATAATGATGATGATGATGATGTTGAAGGGGTTGACTCCACAAAATTTTTTATTCGTCCATTGTATAAACTCGTACAAGTAGTTATCCGTCCCAGAACACAACCCTTCTTCGAAACAGTCATACTCACGCTACACAAATATTAAACTGGATTCATTTGTCTATATCAAATGGTGAATAGATTCTGTTTGCATTCGCACCGTAGCAGAAGTTAAAATTAATGGATCATTTGCGAAGTTTGTATTAAGGTGGTAACGTCAAGTTTCCATTGTTAATGTGTCTCCCTTTGTTCCGGAACCATTCCGATCACGTAAAACATCTATCTATCTTGATTTCGGGATTCCCCGAGTCAGGGTCAACACTAACCCAACACCAACGCTGACGAGATGGCGCAACCGGAAATGGAGAATCACTTTTACTCGTCCACGTTCATATTAAACGCAAGCGAATTAAAGGCTCAACTGGTCTTTACTCCATACATATATCGTTAGAATTATACGCCCTAGGTATAAAACAGACACGTAAAAGTAAAGGCATAATGGAAACGATTATACTGTGTTTGTTTTTTTTTTAACCGATATTATTTAGAACTAGGTCTTACTTGCGACTTCGCTTCTACGACGGGATATAGTCGATATTAATTGTTTATAATAAACATAATTATTTAAATCACTAAACATTTTTAAAAGTAGCCTGCGTGGATCACTGTTCAAAACTTCCCCTTCATGGTATGATTAAACAAAAACAGTACCCATCTGTCCAAATTTGAACGGGTTCAACTAGTAAATGGTAAAAAAATGAAATATTTTTAAGCTAACCGTAAATTATTTATTGTTAGTAAAGTATATTAAACTTTGTTATGTGAAATGTCAGGGTTCCGTGGAGTTAGTTGGTTGGTTGGTTGGGGGGGGGGGGTAAAGGGTTTTTTATTTGAAAGTTGGCCATGAGGATTTCACGGTACACTAACTGCACCCTTGTACTGACTGATTGTGAAACTTCTCGATTTCAATTATACATAAATACAGTGGAATTCGTTTATTATGTTTCCGCCTATATTGACCAACCGCTTAATATGATGTAATTGCAATGTTAAGTTTGGTTTTCATATTAAATTCTTTATGGGAAACTTTGGATATAATGACTCCGTTTAAAATGACATATCGTTTATTATGACTGATTCTCAAGAAATCATATTCGGCTATAGTGACTCATATGATTAATAATAACATTTTCGCTCATTTTTCTGACCCTTCCTACTCCTCTTGTAAAAAAGGACAAAATATGTTATGTATATTGATATTACAATTCATCGTTCTTTTTATTTTCCTGTTAATAAATATATACAATTTGTAGTTTTTCTCTCTATTAAACTAAATAACTACCCAAAATAGAAAGTTGTTAATTTTCTAAGACTATGCTTTGTGTGACGCCCGCTTAATATGACGTGTTTGTCATTTCCCTTCGATGTCATTATAAGCGGATTCTATTGTAGTACTCAATATACGTATGCATCTGTATCAGTTTGTAAAGAAAGCTATTTGTAAAGAACCTCATTAAAAAACTAAATTAAAAATGTAAATCTTTCTGTACACATTCTCGTTATAATTCCAACCAAATTAAATAAAAGGACTTACATAATAGTGAAAATAGGAAGGAAGGCAAATTTAGGCTTAGCCCCGAGTGGGAGAAATTCACGATATGCCACTGGATCAGACGTTACAACAGTAAAGTCGCGAGTACGAATTACTTTTTGTAATTGTAAAAGTACTTCTTTTTTTGACCGATTATTATCAAGTTTAAGAAACGTTATCATAAGGTATTCTTATGAGCGAATGACCGGCGTCCTACGGGATATACAGAGATACACTATAGTCTAGAATTCGATTAGACAATTAGACAGTGACATAAATAATCTACAACGATATACACTAGCAGCGAATTGAAAACCAAACAAAGCAATATGCTAGTACATGTAATCATGAAAGGTCGGCATCATTTTTTCGTACCGCATGCATTCTAAGTGATAAAAAATTCATCCAGCTTTGCGCCTTAGCTCGAGAAGTTTGCCCTTGAAGTTACGGATTAAGCAGATTTAGTTTACGAAAAGCTCTTTAAAATTTAAAACTTAGTGGGGTAAGAGGCTTAAATGTACATACGCAGAAAATTCAAGTTCGTGACCTTGTACTTCCATCATTGCTTTCGCTACTACGGTGTTAAAAAGAAGCTTTTTTTTTAGGAAAAAATTTCCTTTGTACCGATCTACATATACATATGTGTATGGACTAATCTTCGAAACGGCTGAACTTATTTCGATGGGACTTTACAGACATCAAGGGGATTATCGGAAGTGATGGAGGCAATTGTGAAGTCGCAAGAAGAAGTTCGTACTTATAGAATGTAAATATTTACAGTAATTTTTCTATGAAAGAATAAAAGAAATAACGTTTTCCGATTTTTAACAGGTAGAAAACATTACGCAAAAAATAACTACAAGGTATATATTTACGTTAGTTTAGGGATAACACGCTCAAACATGAATTGAAACGTAGTGTGAAGTATTTTTGATTATGTTTAATTTATTAGAATTGCTTTTACCTCATCATTTTGACTGTTAACAAAAAAATGTGTATTTTTTAAACAATGACAGTTATTGCCTCGGTTAAAACTTTATTCGATAAGTATCCCATCACATGCATAAACCGATGGTAGGAATATTTAAATACATGATTCTTCGTTCTCTTATTTATTTTCATATTTTTTTAAAGACCAATAAATAAAGCATTGTTCAAATGCAAGTATTATGTGGAAAATTAGCTGAATTTTTTTGTATAAAACAATTTTTCGGGAAGATCACAGAAAAATTGCCCCTTCGCGCTAAATAAAATCCTGGATCCGCGTCTGTTTCAGGATGGCATAAAATAAGTTGTAGCTTTTTATCTTTTGTATTAACATTGGAACAAATTGGAACAATAGATTAATATTTATCTACAACTCATTTTATGCCATTTCAAAAAAGTTATAAACTGACTGCTAAAACTAAAAGAAGGGAATGTCGATTATTAGTTTAAAAAATGAAAGGACTTTTCATTCCTGTTGGTCACAATCGTATAAATTAAGGGAAGAAATAGAAATTGTAGCGATCTAATCTAATTATATAATTTAACAATTATATCCGTTTGTATGAGTCGTTTTGACTATAAACAAAAAGGTATAAAGTTCCTTTTTAATGCCAGGAATATGAACGTACGTGCAGGTCTGTAACTATAGTTGGGACGTTTAAAATTGGCATAGTTCGCAATAAAACTGTTGCATTTACTTTCTTCTTTCAACTTACTCACTAGACCAGAGCTGTTGCTAATAGAACGTCTACTTTTACTCACAACAGACGTTGTAGGGAATATCGTAAAAATTGAAAAGAGATACCAGGCAGGAATTGCAGTGCACACCAATAAATAAAGAGGAGAATAGAGCGGTTGCCGACAGAACGCCTACTTTTACTCACGTTGTAGGGAGTATCGTAAACATTGAAAAGAGACGCCAGGCAGGAATTGCAGCGCACATCAATAAATAAAAAGGAGAATAGAGCGGTTGCTGACAGAACGCCTACTTTTACTCACGATAGACGTTGTAGGGAATATCGTAAACATTGAAAAGAGATGCCAGGCAGGAATTGCAGCGCACATCAATAAATAAAAAGGAGAATAGAGCGGTTGCTGACAGAACGCCTACTTTTACTCACGATAGACGTTGTAGGGAATATCGTAAACATTGAAAAGAGATACCAGGCAGGAATTGCAGCGTACACCAATAAATAAAAAGGAGAATAGAGCGGTTGCCGACAGAACACCTACTTTTACTCACGATAGACGTTGTATGGAATATCGTAAACATTGAAAAGAGATGCCAGGCAGGAATTGCAGCGCACACCAATAAACAAAAAGGAGAATAGAGCGATTATTGACAGAACGCCTACTTTTACTCACAACAGACGTTGTAGGGAACATCGTAAACATTGAAAAGAGATGCTAGGTAGGAATTGCAGCGGACACTATTTATGTATCCATAATAAATAAAATGCATATAACATTTATACGTAAAATATACACAGGGACGTATTCGTGCATCGAACACAGGCTCATGCAAATGCAAGGTATAAATAAAGCAAGGAAACAAAACATGCAGTTTTGTATGTTTTTTTCGTACCTGCATGTTTTGGAGAATCTGTTGCCATAACGAGTGCTAACAGAGGTGCATTTTCCTCGATATCTAGTTCAGCGGTTTGTCTGTAAAGTGTGTACATCGTAGCCAAACAGCGCAGTTTCATTTTACTATTCGCGAAAAGTTTCGAATTTGGTCGTATATGAATAATGGATTGAACTCTTTTTAGATTCGAGTAAATTTCGTGCTCGGTTACCTTGCTCTCAGTTTGAATGCTACTACTCGCAGGATTCACCTGCAAAAGAAACTAGAACACTTCAATCTACTTTTCGCTTAGGGTTTTTAAACAGTAACGCGAATTTTTTATTTTTCTTAAATCGCTGGTTCCGAATATAAAATTGTCCCAACTGCAATCATCAAAGTAACCGGTTTTAATGTACTTTTTAAACAACAATTCCTAATGAGATTTTACAAAAAGGCTGTTAGCAGCCACCATAATTGTTAACTTTACAATTAACTTGACGAAGCCCTCGAGCTGGTGGGCGAAACGGATGAAATAGTTCAGATCTTTCAATAACTAAAAATTATCTTGATTATTTTCAAACCTTCCAGGTAGAAAATATCATCAATTAAAGAAATTAATTAAATGTAAATGCTTCTACTCGACTCAATAAATACGAAAAAAAAATTATCTCAACAGTAGTTCCTTTAGAAAAAATATTTTACCTTACAATATCAGAAAATAAGTTACACGTAAATTAATGTGATATTAAAATACCTAGACCTGCTTTTACAAATTGACTCAATATCTTGTGTCTCTACAAAGTTGTGATTAAACATAAAAACTTTCTTATAAAATAACCAAATGGGGATGGATTGTTTTTATTAAAGAAAAAGGAAAGTTGATCCTTAAACAGAATTTATCTTTAGAATTAGTTAATATCATGTTTCATTTTTCTTTTACGTGGAAAAGAATGTGTGGATAATGACGGAAAATCATTAGAAATGAAATATTTAAAAATCACATTATTATTGTAATAGGTAACATAAGATTCACCAAGAGAAAAAAGGAAAAATTGTTTATCTCAAAGTGAACGTAATTTTTATTTGAAGATTTTTACGTATAGAATCTGCATCATAACAGTGGATAACCTTTCAAAAGTGTAAAGGGATGAACTCCATGCTCCAGGGATCTAGATACCAAAACTTTTATTTGGTAGTTTTAAATTTTGTTTTATATATTTTGCAGATAATGTAGTTTAAAAATTTTGAAAAAAAAACACAGTAGCTATTTATAAATTGCAACGCAGTGTGATAGCACAACTATTTAGGAATATTGTGCAAAAAAGGAGTCGGACTGGCGCACCGAGGGTTCCGTGCAAGTCGAGTCTTCAAGATTATTTCCGAGTACGGTTTAAGTTTTCCTCCAAAATCAGTCCCCAAAATGCGTCGCGTTGTTCAAGATTAGCAAACGAATGGTTAACATCTGTGTCTTTTTCTCTCTATTTCTCTCTATTTGTTTAAGCGCCAACTGATAAGAGATTAGTCATACCAGGAAGCCCCGGTTATAATCAAAATAAAAAAAGACTTATTTGTATTTTTAGCTACATAATTTTTTTTATTTTGACTATTTATGACATGTAACATCCTCTTTTTCTACCCGATTGCACGTATCTGGATATGCATGGCATTCTTTATATCTTCAAAGCATCCAAACGCCTCTTTGTATTGTAATAAACGAAGTGACTATCGATTGGACTACGTATCGTATCAAAATGGTGGCAGAAAACTACAAAATGGCGGTTGAGACAAAAAAAAAATTGCGTACCATATTGAGTTGTTGAATACTATTTCAGTGAATAGATCTTTCAAAATCAATACGATGTCGATGATTAAAATACTCGAAAACTATAGAAAAGTTATTCACCGCTTTCGGGACATACTGTACCTATATACCTTCATGAATATTTATATTGTGTTACCTGATATATAATAATAAGTAAATATTAGCAGCGATGGCAACGTGTAAATAATTTGCACCTTTTAATTAGAATAGCATGCTTAAGTTTACCTCGACGTCGTTTATGTACCAAGTAATATTCATGGGAGGGTGTGATGCAGGGCTTGTGCAGTTGGCTGTAATTCCTGCTCCAGGCTCAACTTTGTGTAGACGAGTTTCTAAAATGGGACCGTCGTTGGGGATATCTGAAACAAAATGAAAACCGAGTTAACGAATTTGTCCATATCTATTTATCCTGAAAGCCGAATCGTTACCCCTTGTGAACGGTACAATGGGATTAATTACGGAAACTTGATTTGTAACAAAAGCAATAGATTTGTTTTTGTGAAGAGGCAATAAAGTAAACTCTTCACTTTCGACAAACGGAAAATATTCGAAGAATCATGACACCTGAAGATGTAACACTTGCAAGAATAATTAAAAATGTAAGTATCTATTAGTCGTTTCTTTTTAAAATAACGAATATGATTTTTATTGACTGTTTCGTGTATGTAATGAACGAAATATAAAAAATAAAAGCCACCGTAGTATCTGAGGGTTATTAACAGGGGCGCAACAATGTTACAGTTTGACTGGGTGCTCCCATAAAAATGCCTAAAAAACAAAAAAATACAACGTGCAATTATACAATATGAACAGCTACTGAAGTGAAACTAAGGAACTGGCTTAATGGTATTATTTCTACACTATGCTTCGCACGGACGCAATGCTGATAGTAAATATATTATAGAATGTCTTTATATACAACAATCACAGCTTTTTTGTCTTTAGACAATACAAACCGGCCGGTACCGCCGCATATTGATCTATATTAAATGAACAATGTATTTAAAAGTACTTAATTGGATAAGGATTAATGCTGTATTCCTTAAAATCGCTTGGTAAATAAGTCATTATTTCTCGTAAAAAGTAAAGGAAAAATATAGTTATTGTGGGTTATCCCTAAGAGATAGACATATACCACCGCGGACTTTTTTGTAGACCTTTTTAAGGTGTACAATACTGTAGTATATTATTTTGATCTATCTCGTAAGGTTCAGCCAGCGTTTACAATGTAAGCGCAAAAAGTGTGTTTATTTACGACATCACATTAGAAACCTCAAAAATTATCAGTGTTTCCCTACTATATTATGCATGTATTATACATATAAACCTTCCTCTTGAATTACTCTATTTATTAAAAAAACTGCATTAAAATCCGTTACGTAGTTTTAAAAATCTAAGCATACATAGAGACAGACAGCGGGGGAAATGCGTTGCATGATTTTGTTACATAGCAACTCGCATGAAACGAACTTACCCCACCGTGCGTAAAGAAGTTTCACTTCAAAAAAAGGTCACCAACGTATTGAATTTATTATATTAAGTTGGGTTATTATCTGAATCGACTGGAATGGACTGGGTGCCCAACCCAATCGAGTGGGTGCCCAGGCACCCGTGCAGCCCCCCTTGTTGCGCCACTGGTTATCAAGGTGAGTAATTCCCAAGTTGAAGCCTATCCAAAGCCATAAGCGTTCAACTAGGGGACTACCCAAAGAAATGGGCATTTCGCGGCATAGGTCCTTAACTCAGCATGTGGGCTATCAACTCACTGCCCGTTGAGTCCGATTCCAACTGGTGGAGCTAAAGCAGCTGGGCACTTCCCGTCGTTGATTATATGGGGTATTTATTATGAAAAATTGCATTTCGTATTTACAAACAAAACATTCGAATTAATCCTTTTCTAGTGTAATTAACATTTTATTTTGTTGTTACTTAAGATACAATAGATCTCACCATAAAATGTTAAATTATACGAGGGTGGATTGATAAGTTTCCGGCCTGACCAAGAAAAACAAGGTTTTTAAAAATTTTTTTTTTTTATTTCTCAACATAATCTCCTCCAAGGCTGATACATTTCTCATAGCGGTGTTCCAGTCTATTAATNATGAATATTAAGATTAATAATATAAATATCAAAAGAGTCGAAACATGTAAATATTTAGGAATATTCTTTGATTATAACTTAAAATGGAACAAACACATAGATTTTATATTAAAAAAAACTAAATACCTAACATACATTATATATAAATTATCTAAATTTATGAATTCAGAAACACTAAGCATGATATACTATGCATATTTTCACAGTATACTAAGCTATGGAAATATATCGTGGGGTGGAGCCTATAAAAATAATTTAGAGCCATTACAAAAACAACAAAACAGAATATTAAAAATTGTCTACAAAAATACTTTTGTACAAAACGTTCCTTTAAATCTAAAACAAATATTTGCATTTGAATCGTTAAAATACCATTATAATCAACTCAAAGAAAAATTCAATATATCCACAAGTAAAACTAGGAAAAAAATAATACCTCTACCAAATATCAGTAAAACCGTAAGTAACATGAATAACCACATCGTGGCCATAAGAATATACAATGATCTGAGTGCCGACCTTAAATTACTAAACACCAAAAGTGCCTCATTCAAATTGAAAATAAAGAATTGGATTAAAGCCAATATACTAGGATAAAAACAAAAAAAGAAAAGAAGACTGAAAAATCGACTGTACAAAAATCACACAATTAACTATTAACCTATAAAGGTCTATTAATGCCAAATAAAAATAAAATTGTTATCACTGATTAATTAATCTTAGATATAAGAACCTATATATGTGCAATAGGTATTATTACTTAAGATACAAAAGATCTCACCATAAAATGTTAAAATATATATGGTCAAAGATAGATAATTATAAAAACATTACATATATAACTAATATCATCTTAATTAAATGTAAAATAACATTTGAGACAAACTCATAGATTTAGTATTAAGCTTCATATATTACATTAACTGTTATTTTAGTTATAAGCTTTCTTCTACTCTCCTCTTTATCTTTTCTTTAACCAGACTGCGAACAGGTAACTTATTACCTCTGCAGAATTACTGCAACTTATATGTAATAATATATGTATGTATGTAATTACTTCTGGTTCAAATAAATAAATAAATAATCGCCCTGTTGTCCAATTCCCCTATAGGTATCTAGGTACAGACGCATATATTGTTCGGTGCTATTTTCGATAAATAAACGAAATCCACGATAACGTTTTTGAAGTACGTAAAGGCTTTGTAATAAATCGACATTCGTTCCGCGTATGTAAATGTATTTTTATATAGTATGCATGTTTACAAAGAGAGCCAAATTCAAAGCCGCATTTAAAAACCTATGTAAGGAGGCATTCGCTTTACAAATGAATAAACATCATGAATCGTTGAAGTGATGCTGCTCATTTTGCTGAAATTTTAATTCTACGGAATTGCGGACGCGAATGATAGAGAATACAGTGAATTTTGCAGAATCGGGTTTCTGAATAACGTATATATGTGTATATCTCTCTTACAGAGGCAGCGCAGCGATTCAAATCTAATGAGTTGAGATGCTTCAGAGGGGTTCGTGTTACGAACGTTTGTGCAGAGACATAAATAAAAATTGAAGTGAAATGTTCACTATATGTTGTTGTTGCGCGGTGTTCTACAACATTTACTACTTGGTAATAGACACAACAGAAAAATCACGATAAAGAAAAACATTTTTTTTTTATAAACCAAAAATTTGCCAGTTGTCGGCTATTGAAAAAAGCTAATGCCAATGCAGTAATGCGAGTGCGATTTTCCTCGATAAATATTCGTACTAAAATCAATTTAAACTTAGTAGTTATATTTTGGAAGGAAGTTCCTTCCGTTTCCCTGGAGATTCCTATTGCAAAGAAAAATTCACTTGGCGCTAAAAAGGATGATCTTTTATTTATTATTCACAAGTATTTAATAAAAATTTCAAAGCGCAAAAAACCTTTAAACCTTTAAACAATAATATGTAATTTGGTTCAAATATTAAATTATATTATAAATTAAATACATATTCCGTTTTTTCTAAGTTGCCTCTAAATTTCCTAGGTCTAAGGTAAGGCTAAAAACCTTCTTCAACTTGTTTTTGGGAGTGGGTGGGTGGCTGGGGGTGGTGGTGGTTGGAGTGAGAAAGATGAGACAGACGACATTAATTAATTTGTCTAAGTGATTCAAGAAAAATACAGAAAAATTTGCACCAGAACAGGCGGACCCGGAATCGAACCGAAGTTTTCCCGAATGCTAAGCAATAGTTTAAACCATTAGGGCAGGGAATAGTGCATTTTCATTACTGGAAGAGGTAGGTGGTTTTGAAAATAAATTGCTTCTTTTGGTAGAAGATAATGAAAATGGCCACATTATTATACTTCATTTACTTTCTCTAGCGATTTGCCCCTTCCAATGTCTTGGATGCGCGCTGGCAAAATCGTAGGTAGAGAAAAAAAAGCTAATTATACTCTCGACTCTTGTTCATTAAACATACTTTTTCATACAGTACCTGCCAAAAGTTTTGTTCAATCATGAATAGTAGTGCGAGTCGAAAACAAGCGTTAAAGCCTTTAATATGTCTTCAGATATAAATAAACATCTCGTTGATATTTTCAGTAGTAAATGGTACCACCAATAACGGTACATTTGAGCAATGCAATTGTAGTGGATAAAATGGTCAATTTTTCCGTGCAGCACTGTACCAATTATACGCTCCTCACCGGTTAGGAGTTTGTCCGAGAGTTGTCTCCTTCCTTTTCTGGCCTAGTGCTGCTCTTTTCTACTTTTCGCCGGTCCAACTGAAGGTCACATCGCTACAGAAAGTAAACGAAGTATACATTTGCAAACCTTAAGGAATCATCGGGATGGAAACACTGTTTCTATTGATACTGATAGTAACTTCAGAAGAATGACTTTCCTGAACGATTTGATCAGTTCAAAATAAATATGCCTATCTTGACATTCATTGCGAATCCTCACAAAGCAAACAGCAATCACGTAAGACGAAACTACACGCGAGAGCATAAATGTTTTAAATCTGTTAGTGTTTTCTACAAACTTACCAGCAACACATAAATGAGCAGATCTTATTTCAGTATGAAATAGAGGTGCATCGGCCGACACTTCGCATTTAAAGTTTCCTGCCGTTTCTTTGTCAACGTTTGTCAAAGTCACCTCCTTCGAATTCGACCGAGACACCTGTAACAAAAGCAATCTTCTTAAATGCAACGGTTTATGTAGACGCCTGACGAACTACGAATGAGAAGGCAGGATAATCTTTTCTAAAACTTCAAATTTCTACTATGAAAACTGCTGCTATTGTCACTTTATCCAATGGAATAGCTTACAATGATTTTAGACATTATGTGCTATAGTTTAAGATATTTAGGACAAACAACCTATTAATTTTCATTACATCATTAAAGATAGTACAACTGTAGGGATCGATACACAGGGACAAAAGATTAGTATGCTTGGATTTGTAGATGATATAGTAGTATTAACATCTAGCAAGGAAGAGTTAGAGATAGCTTTAAGAAAAAATGCTTGGGGTTGGTAAATAAATGTATTAGAAACATTGCAGTGATATTTTGGTAAAATTGCTTATGGGCCTCTATTTATTGCATTGAACTGAAAATAACATAATGATTATTTAATTAAAATGACCCCTGTATACTTTGTAGTAATACTAGTATATATCGATGCAGTTTATAGCAGCATTAGCATCTAGCAAGGAGGAGATAATTTTAAATAAAATGGAAGCGGCATTGACAAAACAGTATTGTATGAAAATAAATAAAAGTAAAACTAAAATACTGGTATGCAAGGGAAGAAAAAGTAGTGAAAGAGCGAATATAAAGATGGGGGACGAAAGATTAGAAGAAGTGCCTGATTGTAGGTATCCAGGAAGTCAGATAACTCAGGACGGAAGGAATAGTAGGGATATAAAGGAAATGATGGCGCAGGAACGAGTCACCTTCATTAAAAAGGTGTTAAACGGCGCTGTACGGGTGCGAAACATGGACGGTGTGCGCGGAGGAATAGAAAAGATTGGAAGCGTTTGAAATGAAGAGGTATGAGAAAGAATAGACCAGAGACCAGAGGACTCTATGGATGTCAATAAGAAATAGGCGAGATAGGTTGGAAGGACACCTTCTCGCATAAAGGTCTAGTCAGAGTCATATTAGAAACAGAAACAGGAGTTAAGAGGAGTAGAGGTAGACCTAGGTTAGATTACTGTTCTCAAATAGTTAAGGATGTGGGTTGTTCTAGTTTTAGGGAAACGCAAAGTTTAGCTCAGGATAGGAAAGAGTGGAGGTTGAGAACCTCGAAGAAAAGTGTAAAGTTACTCTTTAGTCTTTTATACATTATACGATATTTTAAAGTTACGGTACGCTAGTTATCTTTAGTAGAAGTGAATATGTCTTCCNTAAAATAATTCGAAGTGGTCTGTATTCTGTCGAAACTGCCAGACGCGGATCGCGATTTCGATCTTTTTGGATCTCATCAGCGCGTCGCAGGCAGCCCGACAGAGCATTCTATTTCTTTAGATATCAATAGAATGGGGATGCCGGGTATTAAAAGCAAAACTTAATAGTTGTCAAATAGTGTTCAACATTCGAGTTTCATTGGCGCTTTTTGTTTTTATTTAAACTATTGGAAAAAGTAGCGAATAATTTGGGTTCTTGTAAACTATGATAACAATTTTGTACGATAGCTACCAAAAGTTTTGAATATTTGAGGTAATGGCTCGAAAGGAAATTAACCTTTGATCGAAGGATAGTAAACGGTGGGGTTTACATGATTACGTGGTTTTCTCTCAAATTCCTTCCTCTTATGAATAAGGCCTTTAATGTTGTAACTAGAGCAAAAACCACACTTATTTAGAACAAACGTTTCTGTAGTCGATTTATAGTAACATTTTGTAATGTAGGCAATTACAATGCTCTACTTTGTAACTGCTAAAGTTAGTACTAGAAACGTTTTTTGAAGAACATGTTTTTTGCTGTCACTGTATAGTAAAAGAAAAAACATAGGGTACCGCTTATCCTGAAAAAAGAATTACTGTTCCCGAAGGATAGAAAAATTTGTTTTACCATCCTAAAAACAACAATAGGGCAAATTGCGTGAATTACGTCGGATCTAGCGCAGACCAGGAATGTGACAGTTCCCAATTGTTTTCGTCAAAAACTTCTCACACTTATTGGGCTTCGAACGAGTTATGTTTCGTATGTATGAGACGTCATGCTAGGGAGCTACGAATTTTCAAACGCGGCTATGTTCGCGAGCGCAATATTTTCAAATTTGACTTTTCGAAGCCCATAGCTGGAGAACGGTAGGACTTATCGGAAAAATTCTTTCACAGACGGATGCCCCGGCTTATTGCGAACATTGTAGAACATGTGCGGTCGAAATCTGTGCCGATCAGAAATTCAAAATGTTCAAAAGTTTTAATTTATTTTCTTTCGAAATTAAGTTTTTTCTGTTCGTGACGATGCGGGCCATCCATTTCTGCCAGAATTTTTGCACTATCTCTAATACTTCGCCACATATGTTCTCCTAAATATTTAATTCTCGATTTCAAAAATAACACTAGGCCAAAGCTTTCGACAGCTATAACTTTTAAACGATATCACGCAGGTGGGCGCCTTTATTATCCACGCAGAGCACAGTATCTCTAGAAAATTTTGATAACACCTCCATCGATATCGGACCATTCAATCGGAAGTTATGGGTGTTCCAGTGGACTCAAGAAAACGCCAAAAATAAAAATAGGACAAATTGCGTGAATTTCGTCGGCTCTAGCGCAGACCAGGAATGTGACAGTTCCGAATTGTTTTCGTTAAAAACTTCTCACACTTATTGGGCTTCGAACGAGCCATGTTTCGTATGTATGAGACGTCATGCTGGCTATGAATTTTCAAACGCGGCCATGTTCGTGTGGACTCAAGAAAAGGCCTACCTGCAGTATCATTTAATTATCATGCTATTGTCGTAATTCAAGGCGGCAGCAATTACCAGCCATAAGTGCAGTTAAACATGAACTAGTAACAACAATATTTTCGCTGTTTGTAACTAAATTCTAATAGAATGCATAATTTGAAACGGCCAATTCTTATAACATAATCATTGTAGGATTGTCAGTCTGAGGTCTGGGTGGACATGCACCTTCAATCTAACTGTTGATCCGCTTTTGCTCCTCCCCCTACTTATATTCAACGTCACGGCTATCAGCTATATTTCGACCCTTGTGCCCCAAATGACCTATACATTATGTTTTGTGCAGTCGTGAGATAAAAAATTATCCGGAGACCACTCGGAAGTTGCGTTACTGAACTACCGTTCTACTAGAATGTTTTAAATAAAACTAGTAGCGAATTTGAGTTGATGTGTTTAATGAGAATGTTTCTTGCATACTAACTAACAATATTAAATTTAATTAAAACTAGAGAACAACTAAGAAAGGGGGTGGAGTCTAATTGAAAGATATTCTGGTGGTAGATAAATGTAGGAATTTCCTGAATGTCGTCATAGACGAGAGGGTGTTGACTTCAAGTAGATACAGAAAACTTCTGAAAACAAGTATACAAGAGCTAACAATGGGCCAGGTATTGGTGACAGAAAAACCTCATTTATGCTACCAGGAATTATTGAATTCATAACGTACGTTTTGTCTGTATGACAATGAAATTATTCTAAAATATTATAAAACCAAATAATAAAGCAAAGGAATTTATGACTTAAAATGTTTGAAGAAATGTTTGAAGTTGAACTGACCAAAGAAATGTAAATAAAGTAAATAATAACACTAAATCTAACTAAACGGAAAAGTTTTCGATTTAAAATGATTGTAAAAAATATAGATAATTATTAGCACTTAACAAACCGCCGNGTTCAGTCCCTTAAGTGTCGTTATATAGAGTTTACACTGTAGTTCCACAAATTATTGAAATTGAATCTTTAAAAATAAACTGAACCACTTACATCGACTGAAATCGATGGAACAAGAAATACTCTGGACGGTGGTGATTCTTTCGGTACAAATCTGTAAAACTCATAGTCTTCCTTGTACCATTTGATGGTATATAAGGCAGCTTTTTCCAAATCGTAGTCACAAGCAAGGGTCACCGTATCCCCAGCTCTGACAACTTCTGGTATCCGAATGTGGACATTGGTAAGCGCCGTTACACCTGAAAAGAATAAACAATTTTAAAACTATGTACTTTCGAACCAGTTCTTCATTTCGAGAACGATGGATAACTAGGGTTTTGTAATTTTAAAACTCGAAACTAATTTAGAGTTACTTGTAGGATCGAACCTTTAATCTTTATGTAATATAAACAGCATTTATTATATCGTGATGGGCCTAGGACGTTCCTTAAATACTTATTGGAAAAGTAAAAATAACCAATAGCTTTCTGATCTTATGGTTTAGTAAGCTCATAGTTTCACAATTCATATTTTTGAAGACATTAATTTTATAGTTTCATTTAGTAGAAAATATAAAAGAAATACATCCCCTACTAACTTTAATAAGCGAAAAGCGGTGCCAGTCGGTACCAGAATCTTTAGTTTAGATCCCTATTTCAAACTATTAACTGCTAGTTCGCTAACTTGCACATACGCTGCTAACTTCATATTGTTGAATTTTCGTTAGTTGTGCGCGCGCAATTTCCGTTGCATGCCACAGTTGTACTATCGACGCCCCAAAAAGGTGTAATAATATTAATACTCAACAGTGCAGTTGTATTAGACAACTTTATACTCAGTTAATAATAGTAGGTTTCTATCACTTATTGATTTGTGATGAACAAATACTAAAAATTTACGTAGTTTACCGATTATTATTTTCATTAATATAAAATTCGATATTTTCATACTAGATTTGCTAAATGAAGGAAAAGTTGGTATTTTGCTCACATGTAGATTTTGCTATTGGTAGAATATACATATTTAATAAATTAGTTAATAAATAACAGCATTTTAGGGCCAACCTTCACTATTAAAAGTACATACTAATAAAATAGTGAAAATAGACAAATAATGTTATTTGTTATTTAATCTTAACATGAATTTTCATCAAGTAACGATGAAATCTATTAAACAAATAAATGTCTGATTTAATTTTATGATTTTTATGAAACTGAGATGTTCGAAATAAGTTTCTCCGCTTCTACTGAAAAATTCATGCACCTTTTCTAATTAATGAATAGAACTTTATGATTAATACTCTACGTAATTTATTTGAGTAAATGAGTTTCGCTTATAATTCAGGATCTCTTTAGGGCCAAGCAATTTAATTAAGGCTTAAAAAGGTGCTTGCAACAGCAGGTACTTACAAAAATAAAACAAAAAAAATGGTACCTATCAACAAAAGTGTAGTAATAAGTAAACCACGAGCATGGCACAATTAATTAGAATAGTTTAATATTGACGACAACTTCGAAATTCTGCATACAATAAGTAATAATGCGACAACATCTTTAGGTCAAATTGTTGGAAATTTTTTCTTTATGTAAATCCCAAATTAATTAACTACATTAAAAAGGGCAACACATAAAGCACCGACATTATTTTTTTGTTGTTTTTATTATTTAGAAAAATATCTAATATCTAATATCAGAATTTTGCTAAAGTTGGATCAAACTATTGGGATCCGTCAAATGGGCATACACCATCTGGTGACAAAATTTATAACTCAAATGAGAGAAAAATTTACATAGGAACTGTTAACGCAAATTGTACAATTGTTTATTAAAATAATAAAACACGTTGAAAAAGTAAAATTTTGTTTGATGATGGAGTCGACGAAGTTTTCTTCTAAAGTTAAATCAAATAAAAAGTTAATATGTTCAGTGAAAAGCTGCAATAGCACTTCAGACATAGATCTTCACTCTTCACCTACATTAACTACTTTCCAATAAAAACTAACCGTTTTATATA